TACATTTCTACTGGCTACATGACCCCAGACTCAAAATGTTTGGAATACTGTGAAAAAAAAAAAAAAAAAAAAAAAAAAAAAAAAAAAAAAAAAAAAAATATATATATATATATATATATATATATATATATATATATATATATATATATATATATATATATATATATATATATACACAAGCTGAAAAGGTGTACATTATCTTTTACTAATGATCATAGACCTTAACATAACCTCTGCGAGTGTATTTACACTGAGAAAAAATAAAATTCTTGTTTATTTTTGCATTGATTATTTGCTTTATTTTGGCACGAGAAATGCTTGCGAAATATCTGTTAACTAATAATTATAGATCATTTCTAGTCGAATTTAATCATTTGTTAAGTCAAAAAAGTCGAGTGTTTAGTAATGTTATCAGTTAGAAAATTTGTCAGACAAACAAATATGTATATATATATATATATATATATATATATATATATATATATATATATATATATATATACATATATATATATATATATATATATATATATATATATATATATATATATATATATATATATATACATGTGTGTGTGTGTGTGTGTGTGTGTGTGTGTGTGTGTGTGTGTGTGTATACAAATCAAAATCTTGACCTTTTGCCCGAGACTTTTGTAGCACATTCCTCCTGGGCATACAGCTAACACAAAGCCTACCTTCGCTGATGCAGGTCTGTGCACTACATAATACAGAGCAAAAGAACAATTGCTCTTAAATTCACTCACTGCTGACCAACATCACATCAAATATCACACCGTAAATAGGGTAATTCTGTGGAGACGGTGACATAAGTAAAATGATACATTGTTTTTTCGGAATGAATGTACACTTATGAGCACTTGATTACCAACATTAATCTTATCATACAGTATAGTCTACTACACTTATATCTGCAGCACTTACACCATCAAAAGAACTTTGACACAGTTATTTGTTACATCACACACATTACTACATTCTTTGTGGATCACCATAACTACACTTGAATAGCATTTTCCACCGTTGTTAACGTTCATCACAACAAATATCGTAAGCAGAGTTCCTTAACTTTTCTTTTCAACGTAACCACAGCCATCAATCAATTGCAGTCTCGCTAAAAAAAGAGCCTCTCATCTGAGGGGTCTCTGTGTCTCTCTCGTCCTCCGTTTTCCTCTCCCCTCCATTCGTATTGCAATCCCCACGCCCGTTTTGCATGCAGCGCGAAGTTTGGAATCCGTGGCTCCTCTATTGTTTAGATATATGTATCTAATGTTTCTTCTTTTTTTTAAATCTATAAATGGAAAAAGAAATCGTGCACAAAACTTAACCACAATTATCTACCTACAAGCATAAGCATTTCAATAATATTGTTATGTTGTTATCTGCCATGCACAGTCATATGATGAACGTGGGAGCATTACTTTCTCACTCATTAGCTTTCTTAGTGTAACATGAGCTAGGATATCTTTAATTTGCTAAAATTGATATCAGAAAGTAAGGGATACCAATGGTACCAGGAGATATATTTTGTGTGATACTAATATTGCAATCAAATGCAAATTTAGGTATTATTTAAAACCAGGCTGACAGCCCAATATAGATAGCATTCAGCCAAATTTAGATAATATACAACTAAATATAAACCGCGTATAACCTAATTTCCATTAATCATTGATAACATACAATCAGATATACAACCACGCACAGAACATATAACAAATCAAAGATGCACCCACACACATTTCACCCTATCTCAGAAAACAATTATAACAGAACTTAAATTCAAATAGCCTATTAATTGCATATGTGGAAGGATTTTGTGTGAATACCTTGAAGCCGTCCAGGATTATCGTCCGCAAAAGATATCTAATATTTCTGACTTCAACTCCCATATCCTCTATTAAAAAATAATTGTAATAAAAAGAATTAAAGCTAAACTATATCTGATGTTACTGTGGGTATTTCATCACGGGATGTCGGAGATAAGAAATTGTTCAAAGTAATTAATGTATATATGTATGAGAAAGGAAGGAGAGACATTGCAAGTATAATCCATCTGCGCAATATACCAATTCATATATCTGGTTCGATTACAGAATACAACGATAACAAGGAATGAAAGCCACAGAAAAAGGTAAAAGCGAATGAATGTATGCAATAATAGAAATAATACAAATAATTGGCAGAAAATTGTGAATGGCTTAAATAGTTCTCCCAGGTGTTAGATATTGCTAATACTTGAAGGCATGATATTACATATATATATATATGTATATATATATATATATATATATATATATATATATATATATATATATATATATATATATATATACATATATATATATATATATATATATATATATATATATATATATATATATATATATATATATATATATATATATATATGTATATATATATATATATATATATATATATATATATATATATATATATATATATACATATATATATATATATATATATATATATATATATATATATATATATATATATATATGTATATATATATATATATATATATATATACATATATATATATATATATATATATATATATATATATATATATATATATATATATATATATATATATATATGTGTGTGTGTGTGTGTGTGTGTGTGTGTGTGTGTGTGTGTATGTGTGTGTGTATATACATATATATATATATATATATATATATATATATATATATATATATATATATATATATATATATATATATATATATATATATATGTATATCACATACCTTTTAAATGTTTTCAGTTATCCTATCCTATTAGTCATG